GACCACATAAACTATTACATGTTAGATTCATTTATTTGCGAGGATCATACCCTTGTTTTCTCTCAATTAAATCAAAAAGTCCAAAACTATTATAGACGTCTTCTTTTTTTACTGTAAATTTGAGTCAAAGACATCCATTCTATTGCAATGATTTGTATTTTAAATTTTATTTTTTACTATAAAATAAATCCATTCTATTGCAATGAGTTATATTTTAAATTTTATTTTTTACTATAAAATAAATATAATTGATTACAAACACTCAGACATGAGAAAAGTTCTAAGTACTCATGTACTTTCAATAAAATAATAAAAAAACTATTACAATATCATTAATTTTTTAAAACCTAAAAAAAATGGATTTTTAAGAAAGTTTATTTTTTAAATTTTTTTTTTTTAATGTCGAATCTTACTGATTCGGCCTATTCTCCAATCTGAATCAATGATCTCCCGATCCGATCCGATTTTTGGGATGAACGATCTAAGTCACCGATCTGTTTTTTCAAAATATGAAAACCTCGTTAGGAACCAAACATGTCAAAGCATCAAAGATAGGGAGCCGTAAAATGAGAAACAATGCCCCTGCACACATTTCTTTTTTTATTTTGAACAACAAATATATGGCGAACGACCAATAATAATGAACGGTTGTTTGACTTGCAATAGGTTTGATTTCCAAGGACAAACATACGGCCGCCAAAACCAATAGCAATGCGAAAGGAACGGGTGTTTGCTTGCGATAGCTGCCTCCTTTTACTGTTCATTTAAAGCTCCCTAACCTCATTATTGTGTGTGAAACCATAGAAGCCAAGGGTCACCATTTATCCTTAGTAGACAAACTGGCAATCATTGATCACATCAAACTGGGATATTAATATATATATATCAAAGCAGTGTTTTGAAATCTTCGATTGAGTTGGAAAACAGGTGGGACGGAATTGGTTTTAAGATCGTATGGGATTTAATTTAATTTTTTTTGAATTTATTTTTTTATATATATTTTTTAAAATTATTTAATATTTTATTAGATCTGATCCACACCAGTCTAGACTTGATGCTGATTGCCAATCAAACGATTCGACACAAATATGTAGTTAAATATTATTGTACCCACCGATCCGGGTTTTTAAATACTACAAGCTATGGTTGCATCAAATGTTCACCAACACGGAGATTTGGGGAGGGTAATTTTTAATAATTTTATAGCCTATTTGTATATATAAAATTTAAAGAATTTATGAGGTAATAAATTTTTTGAAGGATAAGTTCGCGCACAAAATGATGAAAAGTTCGCCGCCACGGCACATCGCTTAGTGCTGCATCCACCTAAAGGGAATAGAAAAGTTCCCAGATAATCTCCAATGAGCACTTTCTAAAAAAAAATTATATATGGAGCTTAAAACTGAGAAGTAAGAAGCAAACAATCCATCTAAAAAGATGGAAAAAGTTTATATAGGGTTACAACTTAAAAAATGTAGAATTAAAGATACACTTCAAAAATCTATCGCAAAAGGTTTTAATTCATCATTTCGAGATGTGTGATATATTGAGTCTCATAAATAGTGCATCTTGCACCACATTATCTAAACCGTCCATTTTCAAGATTTTCATATGTTTATAGATCTACTTGATTTTAACTTTTTTTTTCATTTAAAATTTTTATAATTAAATATGAAAATAGACTTTCAGATAATTCTAAAAAAAATACACCAAAATTACATGATAAAATTTGGAGATTCACCTTAATTGGATCGTTTAAGGTTCCAACTTTATAAAAACCACACCCTTTAAAGATCAAGAGCACACCCTTTAAAGATTAAGAGTGGATCAGGGGATGTGGAGCGTTATTAGAGTTTAAAAACGCGGTCAAATATTAGTTACAAAGTGATTTATAGGCTCTTTTGAATTCGTTTGGTTCCCTTATACACCTCTAAAAAAAATTTATTTTAAGCAGTACTATTAGGATTGGATAAGCCACGGTGAGGGGTTTAGTCTAATTAAACTTGATGGAAAATTTGTTCAGACTGATTGGATTGAATTTTAGAAAAATAAAATTAAAATTAAAATATCAACAAATATAGTAAAATATCTGCCCAACTTTATTTACTGATAGAAAAATTGGTCAAACTAATTCAATTGAAATTTTTGAAAAATAAATTAAAAACAAAAATAATATTTTAAAGGGTGCGGTTTATATAGAGCCGAGGCTCTAAACAATCAAATTACAACCTACCTTCAAATAGTATCGAGAAATAATATTTCAATATTGAAAATTTTTGTGATAGTCTTATAATATATTTTTCTCTTTAATTTAAAATTTAAAGCTTAAAAAATAGTGTACATCGAGTAGATCTATGAAAACTTGAAAATCTTAAAAATTGACGGTCCAAAAATGCGTTATAAGATGCACTATTTCCAAAACTCAAAATCCATTTTTTTTCTCATGTCCATGCATCTTTATGCCAAGATGATCAATTTGAGGATATTTGGGCATTAAAACAACCTCTTCTATTGAAATTTTGGAGGTAGGCTCTAATTTGGTTGTTTAGAGCCTCAACTCTATATAAACTTCTTCCTATTTTAAAAAATAAAATAAAAATCCCCAAGTTTGTTTAGTTGATGGAGCCGGTCAAAACAAAATGGTTTAAGCAGCTAAGACAAATCAAATATTGATTTTGATCAATTATTGACTAAACCTAATGTTGTTTTTGGACCATATTAGCCAAGGTACTAATTGATTGTTCAATCCACAATTACACATTCAAGAAATATGTGTGAAGAAAGAGATTTCCCCCATATTATTAATTTTAATAGGGAAACCCATCGAAGGAAGGGGGACCTATTAATTTTATATTTTTTTCTATATATCGGGTTAAGTCCAAATTTAGTATGTTTATACTTCTCAGCATCTCATAACTATAAAAAAATTTAAAAATTATTTAAACACATAGATGGGAAGGTTGGTCATTTTATTTTTGGAAATATCAAATTGGACCGTCCAATATATATAAAAAGAGATAAATTAAGATATACTTATTGTTCTAAAAAATAGGATTTCATTGTAAAATACAAAATATATGAAACTATTTTTAAATATAAAAAATAAATTTAAATGTATCAGCAAATTTCAACAAACACCCCAGACCCATCTAATTCCCCAAAAAAAGACAAAAAAGAAAAATAATTGAAAGGCAAATAAAGACAAACAAAGGCAAAATAGAGCATACATACGCCTGCGTAAAAATTAAAAAAGGGGTAGAAAATGGGAAACAAAAGACAAACTAATTAGAAGTTAAACCAAAGAGAAGGAGGAAAGTACACCAGAAGAGAGCGAGACAACTACGAAAAGTGTGGCACCGGTTCCTTGCAAAAGAGCTAAAAAATCTCTTGCAAAAGTGCGGCACCAGTTCCTTGCAAAAGAGGTAAAAGCCTTACTCATTAGGTAAGAAGACTCGCACCCAGCCACCCACACAAAGATGTGCAAACTAATCTCCTTGCAAATGAGGTATTGATCCATCTTGGTTTAATGAGCTACATTTCTATACAGCGAATATATACAAAGTTTTCATACCCGATTAATGTTGGAAAACTCAGTCGAGTTCACTCAAGCTCGAAACTCGGCCGAGGCCACTCAGCATGCGAGTCCATTGTTCTCGCACTTTGCCAAGCCCAAAACCCCCAGCACAACCACCCCCTCAACTATGGCGAGCACTATGGTACTCACCGGCTTGCCGAAATATTGTACAAACTCTGCAAGTTCTCAACTGATTAGGCGAGTGAACTAAACTCACCAAAATATAAAAGCTGGTAGAAATCCGACCCTCTTTTTTCATAGTTCTCTCAAGGGCAATTTGGATACCTGAAAATATATTACCAATGACTTATATTACTGACGTAATACATTACTGCGTAATACATTACCTGTAAATTGATTGTTACTGTTTGGATAGTATTTAGATTTAGATGCAATCTGATAAATACATTGTTATTGTTTGGCTACGTCGAAAAGAAATATAGAAAATGCATTACCAATATTTTACCGACATGTACCTATAAACTATCATTTCTTTCTTTTTTGTCACAAAATTCCACTAAAATGCAGAATTATCATTTCCTTCATTTTTGTCACAAAATTCCACTAAAATATTGAATTAATAGCATCATCACACGATTCCAAAAAGATTTCTAATAATAACATTATCATTGTTCCAAAAAGATTTTCTTATAATAGTTTGTAACTTTCACCTTTTTATTTGTAATTTATATAATTTATTTTTCAAAATAATTTTTTTCATAAAAAGTCTCTCATTTTTATATTTTACATGCTTGTACCTTTTTTTAAGTTTTTAATTTATTCAAAATACCCTCAATTCAAAGTGTTTACTCTTTTTTTTTTTTAAACTACATACCGGAAGTTCCAAATCAACTTTTCTGAAAATGGCAGTCAAAACTTCAAAAATGCTTAGCTTGCACATTTTTTGAGTGAATAAGTTGTTCAAAACTTCAACTTCAGAACTTACTTAATTTTAAAAAATGTCACTTCAGAACTTCGACTTTCAAACCTATATGTTGCTCAAAAAGACAACAAAGAAAAGGTACCGATTTTAGAACTTCAAAGAACCGGAATGACGGTATTTTGGTAAAAAAATAATAATAATAATAATAAGACATGAGTGCAAAATACAAAAAATGGAGTACATTTTTTAAATATTGCAAAGGAAAAAGATATTTGCAAAATTATCTACTTCCCATATCGTAAATATTTTCATTATTATGTATATTTTATTTTTCTAAATTTTTATAAATTTTCAAAAACATTTGTAGACTTTTCCAAAAACATTTGTAGACTTTTCCAGCCTTTCCGGGGCAACCCGAGGTGAACCCGGCCAATCAACTCAAGACTCATGCAGGGCCCATTTTTCGCCCTTAGTCCGATTATTTTAACAATAAATAACACCCTAAGCATAGGATTCTCATGAAGGTGACAGGATAAAGAACTATTAGCTCTAAGGTGTATCAAATTGACCTAATATAGATTAGATTGGCATGTGTCCCAATAAGGCCCCTAGAGGAGGTCTCCCACGATGTAAACTAAATTTCATCAAGTGGGTCTCCTCCAATTACACTTTTACCCATTTTCATTTCAGAAGCCATTCTTCTAGGAACTTTTACTAGTCCCTTTCCATCTGAAGCTCATTTCTTCTTTTGAACGTTCCAATCATTTCCTCTTCTATACTTGAGTACACTGCCATAAATAAGCAGCCAGGCCAGAGAGAAAGCACCATCTATCCCCAAATTACCTTCAAACCCCCTTAAGCTTGGCAGGTTGGATTGCATATGGTGGCAATCCACTGTTTAAATTGTGCATTAGATGTTCTCACCAGGAGGTAACTCAGCAAGCTTCGCGGTTGTACCTAACACTCGCTCCATGTCAAAGCGAACTTCAATGTTTCGGATGCTGTAGCCCACTACCATCAGCCAATACAACAACTTTGCAAGCTCTGGTGCAGTTGTCTCTGTTGCTGTAGTCTGCAATCAATTGCCCAGGCATTGTTCCATGTAAGTCTAATGTTAAACTTTACAAATGACTGAGGACACTGTTAGATCATTTAAACTCAAATTCTACCGCCGTGTGCAAAACCGTAAGTGCAGACAACTGTTTGACTTTGGGGAAAAGAGAAAACAGCAGATGAAATAGCAGAGAAGTCAATTGTTGGCATGCTAATTGTCATATAAAAGCAGTACAAGAGGACCTCGCAAGCAAATGAGAATATCCAAATTACGACATAACATGTTATCAGCACCTCAAAGAATAATATGATATCTTGTTCCTGAATAATTAAAATTACAAAATACTCTTAACATATACAGCTTTTATCAATAAAACAAACTTTGCACATAACTGAAGTGCCAAATAAAAATTTTTCGTTCAAGAAATTGATGGGTTAGGTATGGGGACTCAGTTTATGCATGAGCTCATGATGTGCCATTCTTTCCAGCAAGTATGAGCCTCTCGTACTAATTCATAAAGAACTTTATTCTTAGATCCAGATGAAAAAAAATGAATGCATAGACAAACTGACTTGTATATTACCACATTAGTACATCAAAATATATAAATTTATAGACTACTATGTATAGTACTACATGTAGACATCACTAATAAGCATGTACCAGTATGTACAACGGAATTTTACATATGCAAAAAAATGCATGGATGGAACACAACAGACACATTAATATAAATAAAATAGGAAAAAAGTTTATATAAGGTATCAACCTTAAACTATTGAAGTAACATACATATAAAAAATCCTCTAGAAGAGAGTGTTCCGATGTTGGAAAACCCTCCAATTTGATCATCTTGACCTCAAAATGTATGAATATGGAAAAAAAAAAAAAAAGAATTTCAAGTCCTAAAAATATTGCATCTTATAACAAATTATCTAGACTGTCTATTTTCAAAAGTTTCTAGTGTTTATAGATTTACTCAATCTGTACCATTTTTGGAATTTTAAATGTTATAGCTAAGGTTAAAAATAGATTTTCAAGCCCTCATAAAGTTTCTGACACCAGAACTACACCTAGAAACACAATTTAGAGGTGCGCCTTACTTCTGCAGCATTAGTATGGCACCATATGCAAACTTCACCCATAAAATAAACATGCATCAATAAGTAGATAAAATACAAAAGAGAATTAGGGATCCACAAAGAAAAAGAATTCATGTTCCCAAGAAACAATTCAATTGCCAAAGGTAACCTTATTGAAGATAATGTTTTGCAATCTCGTCATGCATACTTCAATCTTCATATTATCAATAGATGAGCAGGAGACAATTATCCAACTTGATATACCTCAGAGATGACTTTGTTCTTTTTTCTTTTTTTTTGCTTTGGCAGTGTTTTAAAGGTGAGAATGGAGCCTAGGATGTTATATTGATGCAACTGCCCCCCTAACCACCGATGCCCCAACCCATTCCCAACTTGAATATTACATTTCATATCATCATAATATAATCCCATTAGTATATCATACTAAAATTAGTGACAAGTCAAAAGAAATAAAGCTTGGCAAACTAGATTCCAAACCTTCATCTGTGCAGGGTCTGACACAGCTAAAAGACGCTTAATGAAGGTATTCATAGCCAGCACAACATCCTCGCCCGCACTACTCGTCAGCTCCTACATAAGACATTGTGTGGTTAAAGATCATAGTGCCTTCGCATATCAAAGATCAAAAAGAGGAAAGACCATAACAAAGTGTGCCTTGTAACAATGAATAGCCGATACAAACAACTGACAAGTAGGAGTTCAACAATACAGTTTGTTCAACACAAACATCCTCACAAGAAAGACGTACAATGAGCGACTAGATGCCTTCATTTCTAGATCCCAACAAAACCTGAAGAGCACACTTCATTAATAGTTTTATAAAATTCGTTCAAAGTTTGAATAGATATATATGTTGGAGAAGTATAATAAAATGGTGACAGCACAATCTTATCCAACCTTAACCAAGTACTCAATCTAACCTTGACTTTCTATGTTCACAATAGGGAAAAATGGAGAATTTCTTCCAATCTTTCTTTTAAGAAAAAAGCAAACACGCTCACCGGTTCAACCAGTCCAACCACAACAAATTGATCTAGACACTACCAGTCTGATTACCGGTTCAGTTATTATGACATTGGGCTCTGTTGGTTTTCTCTAAATCTTAATGAAAGATGGAAACTGGAACAGTAAGACATATCACAATAATTCTTATCGATAAACAAGAAATCCATAGGTTCATCGCAAACACAAATAAACCATCTCAAGAGCAGTTGTAGCATGTTAGGGCAGAACTGTTAAATCTGTCAGTACTCATAAGACCAGCAGCCATATTGCCATTCGCAAAATTTCACAAAAACCCCTCAATATTTGCAACATTTGGAGCTTCAAATCGAACTCCACATATTAGATACGGTTGGTATGGGGAAGATACATGCATCAGAGATATGCTTTATCAAGGTCTTACAAGTAAAATGTCAACACTCAAAAAGGTTTATGTCCCATACAAAAAAGTAACAAAGAAAGAAAGAACCAAAAAAACAAAAAGGATTATCCCTCTGTCTATTCAAACTTCACAAGTTCCCTACACGGGAAATGTATGCCGCAAATCTCCAAAAATGATGGACATTCTAAGAACAATAAATGACTCTAACTGTAACCAATGAACTTTCCACATGAAAACTCCTTAATCTGATTTTTTTCTTTCAGAAAAGAAACAACAATTAGCTCATATCAAAATACTGTTTTCATTTTAAAAAAAACAAACGAAAAGAAAAGTTATACGTGCATTATATTGGTTGCCTTGGAGTTCTATTCAGTCATGAAACAAAAAGCCCAAAGTGTTTTCAGTATTCTCATGACAAACATGCAACATGTGTATGTATCTGTGAAGTTTCTTATACTAAAACACCTTCATCATCATCATCATCATCATCATCATAACCTTTTCCTAATTAATTGGGGTCGGCTACACAAATCATGATCTGTCATTCTAGTCCATTAAAGGCCATACTCTCAGTGACGCCATAAGTCCCCTATAACTTTCAGAACTACTTGCAACCACATCCTTTTGGGCCTACCCCTTGTCCTTTTAAGTCCTTCCACTTGAACTAACTCGCCACAGGTGATGTACTTAGTCGGTGCCACACATGGCCAGCCCACCTAAGTCTACTGGCTCTCATCTTATCGCCTATTGGTGCTACACCTAAATTATCTTGAATGGATTCATTTCGAATTCTATTCATTCTTGTCTGGCCACTCATTCATCTTAACATCCTCATTTCTACTACACATTCTATAAGTATATTGTTTTTTGTCCGCCCAACATTCAGCCCCATAGAGCAAAGCTAGTCTCACAGCTGTCCTATAGAACTTACCCTTCAGCTTCATTGGCATGCGGCGATCAAATAAAATTCCAGTTGCACATCTCCACTTCACCCACCCAGCTCTAATTTTGTGTGCGACATCTTCCTCAATCTCTCCATTTTCCTAGATTAACCCAAGATATCGAAAGTGTGGTCTTTTTTGCACTTCTTGGACGTCAATTTTAACTACTTCCTCGTCTCTACACCTATTATTACTAAACTTGCATTATACTCTGTCTTAGTCTAACTAATTTTAAAACCTTGGATTCTAAAGCATCCCTCCAAAATTCTAATTTTGTGTTGATGCCGTTTCGGATCTCATCGATCAAAACTATGTCATCCTAAAACACCTTACTTTCTGAAAATGGTAACAAACTAAAACACCCTATTCCAAATATGACATCTCCTACTGTTGAAATCTATACATTTATTGGAAAATGTTTCAAGAAACCTAGAATTTAACAAATTAAGGTATTCAGTATTCTCATGACAAACATGCAACATGTGTATACATCTGTGACGTTCCTCATACTAAAACACCTTACTTTCTGAAAATGGTGACAAACTAGACCACCCTATTCCAAAAATGCCATATCCTACCACTGAAATCTATGCATTTGTTGGAAAATGTTTCAAGAAATCTAGAATTTAACAAATGAGGGTTTGTAAATCAAGATTTTCCTTTTATCAGACTTGCCCTAATGTATATTGTATATTTCTAAGAGAACAGACTTCCTTCGCTTTTTTTTTTTTGGAGGGCGGGAGGGGGGAGATGGGGTGGTGGGGATAGATTTCATTGCTGAACGACAGAACACATCATGTTGCACTTCATGCAGACAAGCAGAGACTTGTGCAAGGGGAGAACGGAAGTCCCCTAGCACATAAATGTAGACATAGAAATATACAAAGCTGTTTCATAAGTTCATCAATATCACTATACAAAAGAAGTGCGTGCAATCAAGCATAGGATGTTTGCTTTCTCAACCGGAATAGTTATTACTACACTAAACGAACCTGATACTGGCTTAGCCACCTGATCTTCAAGTAGACTGTCTTTAGTATTCAGTACCTTTTTTTGAACAGTTAACCTCAGAATTTCTATCTAACCCTCTTTTTAAACTTTCCTAACTAAAACCTTCTCTTTACTAACCCTCTTTAAACTTAAAAATCATCTTTTGTACTCGTACCTTTTTCGCTTTCTTCATTTATTTCTCGACCTTTTTGATTGCCACCAATAGACATGAAACCAAAACAATTATCCCCTTTTTCCCAAATATTATTCGAACATACCCTACCAAATGAAACAATTACTGTACTTTCATTGGGGCAATGGATGGTTCAGAATTTCTCCCACTGCTCAAGAAAGACCACAGATATGAGTAATATTGAACCCACTTTGTAAATGAGCAATAATTTGTCCTTTCATGCTTGACCATTCGCATGCAACATTGGGGGGGAAGGGGGGGGGGGGGATGGCAGGAACAAAAACCTGTAGAAACACCTCCAACCACTTCAAACTTTGCACATGGATCTCGTTCATAACTTCTCCAAAGCACCACTCTATCTCACTGTTCCACCCAACCTGATCATTTCTGCCCCTTTCCTCATACTCATCTCCCATATAATGTTCAAATACTCCATCAAATCATGCACGCCCAACATAAACAGATCCAACCAGCATGCACCCTCATTCCTATGAGAGACAGGCCACTACCCAAATATTCTAGTTACCAGCCACAGTAACCAACCCCTATGCATGCACCATTTATCCATCCAAAACTGCATCTGCTACCATCCCTACCATTTCAACCCATTAAAAGCAATCTTTAAGCTTCTAATCAACCTTCAAAGAACTAAACAGACCCGCTACTCATCCACCAACCATACCAAACCTCATAACCACCGCTGATGTACTTCTTCCTCCAAATATCATTCCATAGTTCAACCAACCATCCCCGTCATCTCTTAACAGCCAAAGCAATATAAAAGCAAAAGATTGTCACCCTCCCTAAGCTTCCAAAAAATACACGGTATTGTATCACCATGAGCAGAACATACAAATGCTCATTGATGCACTCAATTTGCAATTCCCCACTTACCCCATTAAAGCAGTGTTTAACATATTGCCGGTCTGACTCAAAACTCGCCCGTTTCGAAACGGATTGAGAGCCATGCGATTCAAGGCTAAAAACCCTGAATTGCCCAAGTCTCCCAGTTTTCATAATCTTTTGACTTTTCTTTATTAAAACTACCCCAACTTGACTCGGACTCACCCAAGTCGGACATGGGATACTCGGGATTAGGAACCTAGCGAGTCCCTACCCGAGTCCAACTTTTCAATAACTATTTTATAAAAATCTCAAACCTTTTAACATAGACTCCATGGATTAAAAATTGGGAGTATGCAAGGTAACCAAAATAAAGGTTAATAACTCCAATATTGAAAACATCATTGAATTATTCAAGTCAAATTTCAAGTCTTTATTCCTAAGAACCATCCCTTGAAACTCAATATGTAGTGGACGCCTATGATGGGTCAAGGGGAGATTTCAGGCAGCATCACAACAGAATTAGACACCTCCAGTAATCTAGAGCAGCGTTTGATTTCCAAAGCAAATTGAACTTTGGGCCTCACATGCAATATGACCTCAAGGGGTATTTGATTTTAAATTTTGAATTGGGCTCGCAAATAGAATTTTTTACAAAACCATTCTGTTATTTTGCAAAAGAACTCTCTCTCTCTCTCT